ATCGATAAAACGTGCCTTCGATCAAATGGTGTTATACATTGAGTGAAGGCCTCAGTTATGATTGCGTAGACGCCTGATAACATTGTCATTGGCACGGTTGGAGCATGCCTACGGTAACTGCTTTTAACGCTAGGCCAATCGAACGGATTTGCGCTGACCTGATGGAGTTAGCTTAGCCCGGTGAGACGGAAATTGAGCGAGCGTGAGAACTATCCTAGCCGCACGTATTCGGTAGATTATGAGACCTCGGAACGGACGCACACGAGAGGGGTTACAGTAGATGCGCATTAGTGACTTAGATGCGAACGCCGCTCGGCTAACGACGAGTACAAACTCATGTGACCGACCGACTCCCATTGAGGCGAAGAGGAAAGAAGGCATGTTGTCCTCTGAAGGCTCTTTCACGACCAACAATTGGCGAATCACAGCCAATGCAATGGGTTATTAAGTTAGGGGAAATTGCTACCACGACGTGGCAGTTCGTGAAAGCCCATAGTCAGAAGGTGCGCAGTTGGGCCGCGTCTCGGCGTGGCTGAACGCTGCTGCGTTGTGGAGAGGAATTGAACCTCACTTTCCACAGGCATTCTGCCGGGGTTTCTGGCGCGTTATTGCGGGAATATTTGAGTATCCCGCAACAAATTTACCCTTGTAATTTCCGCCTCCTCAACGTTTTTCCTCGACCCCACTTGAAGTTTGGAGTCTTTGAGCCCCTGGTTACGGAAGGACCAACGTATACTCAAAGCCCCACAAGGTCGAATTACAAAACTGCTACGTGGTCACTAGCATTTCTATTATCTACAACGCCTTCAATGCCTGTGCCTCTACTCGCGAAAGTACGTGAGTCTGTGGAGCGACTTGATCCTTGTACGTACATCTTATCTATGTCTGGACCTTCTTGTCGCCACCTAGTCACACTGCACCCAGCGTGCTCCAACCTACGCGGCCACCCATAGCACAGTCGGCTGAAATGCAGCTGACACTTATTCGCTTTACGAACCTGCTGACCGTGGAATATCCTGCCTGCCGATTTAGTCTCGGAACCCAATGTGGCTGATTTTAAGACCCACCTGGACTGTCATCTGGCTGAGCTACACAGCAATCTTCCATGAGACAACTGCCTCCTACTTGACGGAATTTCTTACCTTTTTACTCTTCTAGGTGGTTCCTTTCCATAGCCGTTTCGGAGGGCTTGGTAACTCGTCACGCTTTGAGCCGGCGTGCATTCTATTTAAAAGCCGCATAAGCCCGATGAAGGTAAGGCTACCACGCGCGTCCAACCGGTTATAAGGTCACTTGACCTTACAACAGACCCGACCTTAACTTCTTTTTAACTTACGGGTCATCTAAAGCTCGAGCTTTTATTCCAAGTAAATGCAACGTTCTAATGTTAAGATCCCGTGACCACGCAAGATCCAGCCAATCCACAAGAGGAGAAAAGGCGAAGCGGACCTCAGAGTTTATTTACGGCTCACAAAAGCCGGATCCCAGTTGGCACATTGGTTCATTTTGTGCGTGCAATGATTAACCACTTAAAGCGCGTGGTTTACAGTAGAACACTGTTCATACGAACCCAGTTGTGCCCAGACTAGGACTGGCTGGATCCTGCTGGTTGCTTTTGGAATTGAACGCTGCGTGGTGCAGCCCACGCGTTGGAAGTGATGGCACATTTTCGCGGGATTGCTTGACGTTCGTGCAACACCTCCTTTTGAAGTTGAGGTTTATCGTTTCTGTCAAATTGTATCCAGCAGAGATTTCGGTGATTTCCCGATTCTCACTGTCCGTCTGTAAGGCGCGTCCTTAAGAGGTTGTGGCGGTTGAACGACTTCGATCGGCGCCTGCCGTTCTGTCGTAATTCCGTAGGTATCCAACAAGATGTGCAGCGACAATTGAAAAGGAAGCTTGGCCGGCATGGAGGGTTCTTCGTGTTGTGTTAGAAGTTGATTGCGATGGCGCGCTCACGTTTAAGCACCCACGGAGATATCATGCAGCATATCACCTTGAAGAGCCGTCATTGCTGTTTTGATCCAGAGTGGATGACCTGCCCGAAATTCGAGAGTGTATGCCAATGCTCTAACGACGAATTCATTGTGGTTGTTGCAGCAGTAGATTGACTTAGTGTTTTTTCGGTCGCGGTGAGTTGTGCGGTCTATCAGTGCTTCAGATGGAGACTGGCATTCTGGAGCTGATGGATTTGGTCTGGACCGGTTGCAGCTGAAAAACACGTGTTGGCATTCATCCAAGTTCCCATCCCCACTAGACTTCAAGGGTGTTATCTTGTAGGTGTCGACAAACCTCTCCGCTTGACCATTGGAATGGGGATGGTATGGCAGTGTGCGTTTTTGATGCAACGCCAGTGACAGAAGTCTTCGAACATGGAAGACGTGAACTGAGAGCTATTTTCGGATACCAAGACCTTGAGGAGTCCACGTTGATTGGAGGTTCGTTGTAGACATCCCAGCGTGGCGGATGTAGTTGGTTGGTTGACGGCGACCACTTCAGACCATTTAAATTAGGCGGTGACAACGACCAGGTAGGAGGTGCCATAGGTCGGACCAGCATAGTCTATGTGCACACAAGAGCATGGTTTCTCTATCGGTTGCCAAGGAACTGGTGGCTGGTGTGGTAGCAACTATGATGTTTGTTTGCCATCCTGGAACACAGGGGTTGGCTCTATGATGGTGCCGTCGGTTTGGTCGCTTGGTACTACCGGAGAACGTACCAAGTTACAGATGGCCCGAAAAGGCAGATCGACAAAGCCAAGTGTTCCAACTAGTCGAGACCAAGTAGGTTAAGCTCCGCCTTTGTGATGTAGCAGATCTCATCGAATGTAACGCGTCGGAAGGAGCCGGACAAGTGCAGCTGCCGAGTTAGCTGCGCGCGACCACCACAGACGCTGGTGGCCTGATTAAGTGGTCCCTTCGAACAGATGATTGCAAAGGGATCGCCAGAGAGCCTCAGGGATGATCGGGATGTCCGACATAGTGTACATCTGAAATCGGACGGGCTGACCGTTGATTAAAAGGTTGACGAATTTTATACCATTCGCAACCTCGACTTGTAGGTGACCAGTAGGTTCAGGGAGCTGCCAAACGGAGAAGTGTAGGGTTTTCGTCTGGAACTGTACCTCTTTTTGGATCAAGAGTGGGTGACAGCCCAGTTTTTGCCCTCTTGGTATCTGTAGGATGGCAGTGACCAACCCGGTGTCCCACCTTACCACAAGGCTAGTAGCGGCGCTGGAGAAACTTGCATTCCCGGTGGAAGTGTCAGTCCCCACAGAATCGGCATGATCCGGAAGTGAACTTCGCTCGGTGGGATTGGATGTGACGCACGGACAATTGCGCCCTAGATGCTGTGCATTCGGGATCATGGCGGAGTAGTGCTTCAGATTCTGCAGCGTTTGAACTCCTAGGCCAGATTCTGGAGTGTGGCAGTGACAAGCTGCTGCAACTTTTAATAGAAGACGCGTCCGGATATCGACATCATGTGAAGAATGGCGACCAGAAAAAAAGAGCAAGCAACTTAATTGGTCCTCTTTGAGCCAGCCCATTTAAAAACGCTCAAATTCACGATTGATCATGCCTGCCTAAGTGAGGAAGTTGTCGACATTACGCTTAGCCAGCTGCAGGCATTGATATCGGACGGTGAACAGGCAAGTCTTCTCGCCAAAAATTTGGGATAACACTCGGACCGTCTCGTTGAGCTTAACCACCAGTAGGTACTTCGACGAGATGAAACTAGTAGAGCGTTGGTGTTCGAGCGTACCCAATATGCTCAGAAACAGCCGGATCTTCAACAGGTCAGCATGATAGGCCAGGTAAACGGTGAACTGGTCCTCGTACTGCTTAGACCAAGAATCGAACGTTACTCCAACCTTGGCATCGTACAGGAATTCACTGATGCCACTAACGACATGGTCCACTGATTGAGCATTTCTAATCGAACCTGCGTGAAGGGAAGACATGAAAAGTTTGTTGGTTAGCACGGACATCAGTTTGACTTGCTGTCGCAGCATAAGTTTCAAGTCGACGTACTCGTTCGTCATGGTTCGGAAGCCCTACCGTCGACACCATAATAGATTTGCACAAAACTTGCAATTTACCTAATAATTCACATGGCGCAGTAAAATTTGTACAGCATCACAGTAAAGATCGTTTTTTCTTGGAGGATAATCAAGGAAAATTGCTTCATAATGTCACAAAGTACTCAGTTTGGTGCATCTGTTAGCTGAAGCGCAGCTTGTTGGACATGATTTTCTTCTCTATGTTTAGCATATGGTGTGTACGAAACATGTGGACTCAATTAATCAATCTTGGGATAGGGCGACAAGTGTGATGAACGGAGAACCCATTAGGAAGCAGGTGCGGCTATTAGTGATTTGTTGAGTATTTACTGTGTTTCAGTGAAGATGTATCGTAGCTTAACCCAAAGAGACCGTCAACATAAGTCCAAGAAAGCGCAAGTCGGCCGTTTCGTCAGTATTACGCACCCACCGGATTCAAACCCAAGGCCTACTTTTCGTCAGTTAGCCATCAATACGATCAAACCATGGAGGACGAGAGTGGGCCGCCATAGCTGCGATACAGCACAGATCATCCTTCACGGCAGTAGATGCGATGAACACGCAGAGGCCATGGTTGGCCTCTAGAACTACAATTACTTTGCAAACGGCCACCAATCTATATGGCGTGTATGCTTGTAAGGTGGGTACTGGTTTGTGATGAGTATTAGTGGTTTAACGGGTTCTTTGAAGATTCGTCGCAGATAGACTCAACCAGACACGCAACCAGGACATTGGACATCTAGCGCTTTCCTGGATATGGGGTGAGTATCTGCCTGAGTCTAGCGGCAACAAATCTTCACAACAACGTCTATGCTGTCCATACATATACACTTCGGGTAGAAGGTTTATTTGATGGAATTAGGTTGTACCTAAATCAAATTATTATCTCGTTTAGGTAAACCAAATAGGTCTGACAATTTTCTCGTTCTTTTCTCCCATAGAAGACACCGGAATCAGTTCTGAGAACTCCTTCGCCACTGGAGACCAACACACCAAATGTCATGAGTTATGATGGATGTCGCATGCCGTCCAACGAAATCAGGGCTACCTCAGATGGAGGATCGATGTGTTTCTGGCCCAACACTGAATGCCAGTCCATGATTAATACCGTGGAAGATCCATCAGTTAGTGTGCCAAATAATTTGTCCCATAACATGTTGCCACCAAACACTTCCCGCCCTGACGCTTTGAGGCTGGTATCACAATCAACCCAGGCGGTCGTGCAAGTACCATTTACACAGACTGGACCAACCACGAACCAAGGACGATCATTAGACCAACAGTCGCTAGACGCATCCGGTGTTCCGGGAATGTTCACATGTGATTGCCAAGTAGTTCCGTCGGAACACATAAATTACAGAGCAGCGCATACAGATACGACATCAACGATGGGAGCCTTAGCACACGCGATTTTTTTGGACCAGAAGAAAGAAAAAGGAACTTTTGCTACCGTTGAGCTGTGTCATCATACTAACAGCCTAGGTGTAATAGAAGACAATTTACTAGTAGAGTATCCCACAGAATTCCAGTCGATTGAGAGTCACTCGTATTATCCTTCTACGAGTACCATTCCCATTTTAGATGAAAAATCCTGGATGATGGATGATCCCATGCATACACCAAAGTTTGCCGTAAAACCTTGCAGAACTCCATCAAATGAAATCAGTCTGGGTGCAACCAATAAAATATGTCAGGGGAATTTACAGCGATATGGGCCAAGGAAGAGTGTGTTCAGAAGCACTAATATCCAGCATGAAGGTAACCCCGTCAGTTGTCGGATCCCGATAAAAAGTAAAAAACTATATAACCTCGATCAACCCTCATCCCCAGCCTCCGTCTACGGCAGTTGGTGCAACCAACAACGTATCCTTCGAGGTGAAGTCGACCCTTATGCTAATAACAATCTCTCAGTGAACAGTACGGAAACAATTTCATCTCCTGCAGTAAGTCGAAAAGGATTTCTAAATGCGGAAAGAAGTCCACCTTCTCTAACAAGTGCCACAGAATTACTTCACGCAAGTACGTCAGTTTATCATTGTCATAAGAAGGAGAAAATGCCTGAGAACAAACCCCCATCCGCTTCCATGTCGGTTTTAACCCAGACACAAAAGGAATCATCGTATCAATTACCTGCTGCACCCGATGGCATTGTGCAGTCAGACGAATGTCAACGTTACACATTTTCAGACTTTTCCTCAAGTAGTAGCTCCCCAGCAACCGTTTACGATAACTTTGTTGACAGAACATGGCACTCCGACCTCGCATTTTCAAGCGCAATGGAACCTATGGGACGCCAACGCTTGACTTCTCCAAATTCGTTACGTACAAAGCGATTGTCTTCTCGACCTCTGTCTAGATCTGGCCCCATGGTAATGATCCACAAATGTACCTATTCCGGCTGCGAAAAGAGCTACTCTAAGAGCTCCCATCTGAAGGCTCATGTCCGAACCCACACAGGGGAGAAGCCCTACGCGTGTTTGTGGGGAAATTGTGGATGGCGATTTGCCCGTTCTGATGAATTGACAAGACACATGCGGAAACATACAGGAATCAGACCATTTCAGTGTTCTGTGTGTTGCAGAGCATTTGCTAGAAGTGATCATCTGGCTTTGCATGTCAAAAAGCACACGTGTGTCTGAAGTAGTAAGATTACCAGCGGATGAGAACACAGTTGTATTTATACAGGTAAACATGCACGCCCCAAGAAGCTTTTTACCCACAGGCATTGGAATCGTCATGTTTATGCATAATTGACTTGTTTTTAAGTCGCTGAAATATTTTCACTCTTTTCCTTACTAATCCATTACATCATCGGATTTCAAAAGTAGATCCCTCTTGAACCGGTGAAATTCTGTGTGTGCGATGTACAAAAGTCAATAAGTTTGAAGACTGTGTAAGTCGCACTATTTTATATGAAGATAAATGGTTATTATTAACGATGTTCCTATTACATTAGGTTTCATTTTTATAATAAGAACAGTGGGAATATGATTACGAATTACTGCAGAACAACACTTAATCAACTGTTTGGTACTCCTCTGCAATTACCGAGTTGAAATGGTTGGGCTCCACCAGAAGTAAGGGTCTGTGGGATGTCAAGTTCAATTTGGGAGCAGAACAGTAGAAAAATCCCATGGGTGATCGTTCTTGAGTGTGTCGTTGAACCAGGACAGAGTGTGTGGGATCAAGTTACGACTGAGATGAGCCGTAGGCATACAATCGAAGCAGATCACGGTCAACCAACCAATACCCACGTGGCTTGCACCAGCAGTCCTCGCTGTACTGGCCACATGAATTAGAATAAAGAATAAAAGGGAAACAACAAAACAGAATAATTATGACTTTAGTGGAAGTCCAAATGAGCGAAATGAGGTAATAGTAGCAATATAAGGTAAAGTCAGAGAAATGGAGACGATAGACAAGTTCAAAAGGGAAAATTTGGCACTGCAACCCAAAGACATCGAGTAGATGTTCTACTCCGTTGGTGAAGGTACCAGACCCGTGGGCACTGCACTCCATGAATCCACGACCTTATGTGATAAACCAAATTCAGCCCGAACGCGAGCGGATCTGAAATTGTGAAGTTTCAGTGAATGGCTTCGCAGAGTTGGCATTGGGTGGGTTAAAACAACTGGGATAGACTAGGCCAAATCAGGCCCGTCAGTATACGATACATAAGGAGCAAGTCCCCGCGAAGGCGCCTGTAGTGCAGCGAAAACATTCGCAATCTGAGCAGACAATCGGGATACGAATGCTTTCTTAACCTATGCACCATTTTTGTGCCAGTCCTAAAAATCGTTCAACTGCCATCTTGTCGCGGATCAAGCTTGGCGGACAGGCCTGCACGCAGTTATCCAGGTATGGTTGGACAAAGGCAGAGAACGATATGAGGAACATTTCCTTTGTTATGATCATGAACGATCTACCGACCATACACAGCATTCGGAAACGCCACAGAGTAGCCGCAGTCCAGTTCTCAGTGGATTTAAAGTCAGAAGACCGGGGAACAACTAAGTTGACTTGGTGGATCATCTGCGGCATTACATTTCCGCCCAGTAGGTAACGATTAGGTGTACTTGATCCTAGCGTAGGACCGAGCACTCGGCGAGAGTTATTATCAGTTGCCGCAAATATGACCACTCCGAAAACTTGTTGAGAGCTATCTGTAAAGCCAAGGGGCATTCAGAAATGCTCACTGTACTTCAGAATTCTAACTCATTCAAAAAACCACTTTATGCTACCGAGCTGCATCCATTGATCCACCCTTAATATTCTTACAATGAAGTAACAGGGGGAGAGGGGAGGGCTTGGTGGACAGCGAGCTTTCCTAGTAAGGTCCATTCACGTTGAGGCCACCTAATGCCAAAACTTATTGGTGTTAAGACTAGGCACTCGAATAAACAAAAAAATGTGAGAGCAAAGTTCGATGGGTGGCCAACTAGTGTTTAGTGAGACAAAGTGAAAAAACTGAGGGCGCCAAGCACACTCCTCCTGTATGGCAAATTACTCATGTTGCATCGTCCGAGGTTCACTTCGAGATTTTACTAAACCAGGACTAGCATCTGCGATCAATACATACCGACAGGGATGGTCGGAGAACACATGAGGCACTTACGGTGAACATTGCAGGCGATTCACATTCAGTAGGCGGTCTAGCGCCTTGTTAGATCATTTGGGACTGCTCATCTGTAACTGCAACATCCCTTAAGTCACTTTACATATTTTACGGATTTCAGCACTGCGCGCAAGGTACCAATGAATTTTGTGGCTTATAGAGAATCACTGCATGCATTGAATTTTTGTCCTCCCCCTTCAAGAGTGATAGGCGCCTTTGCATCATTTTCGTGTAGTACAAGGTTTACGAATCAGTATGCTAGCTAGTTTGTTGCTTATGCGAATTTCGGAGATGCATTTGCTCCAATAATTGTGCGTAACGAAAAATTTCTGTATCCCTTCGATCGACTTGATCAACTGTTTTGTATCCACCCGTCCATGTGCATCACATTTTGTTTTTCTTTTCTGAGGTTTCAGCCTAGTAGTTCACAAGCTGCATATACAGCCTGGTCCGGAAAAGCAGCAGACGCGTTTCGCCCTGTTAGGGCTCCTCAATGGTGCGTATTCCCTCGGTCCGTTAAGGCAGATCCAACCCATTAAAGATAGAGGCAGATGACAATTTGCCAGCAGCTTAAGTCATTGAGCCATGGAGGACGTTGGCTGGGCTACATAATTTGCAAACTAACTAGGATATAGCCCCACCTATCTTCCACTGTCAGTGACAGTGGTTCGCCTGCGAGTTGATGGCTCTCTCACTAGCTGCTATATCCAAAGCATTTTTGAAACTAGGAGAGGCTATTAATGTTATATTACTATTATTATTATTACATATAAAAATCCCGCTACTTACGAGTAAAGTTTTGTTTCCTTTGCACAGAAAGAACACAAGCATTAGTTTCCTCATCATGCTGATATCATCATTGACCTCAGCTAACCCATTAGCTACAGGGCTAAGAAAGCAGTCATAAATATGGAAATCGCGGGACGGCAGTGAAATGACAAATGAAGCGCTGTCCAATAGTAACATGCAGTAAAATCCTCCTCCCGGAGTACACGGCAATACATCTCATTATGCGGATACCCACTCAGCATTTGCCACGGTATCCGTGCGCATTCCCACAACAATTAGCATCGGTAGCGTGCATTACAACTGCTCAAAAGCCGCTGGTTATTCTGAACATAAACAGATTACATATATTCTAATATGCAAGCATAGTAGCGCGTGAGCGCACTGAGCTTAGCATAAAAATGTCAACAATGATCCATCCTTACTTTTATCAAATAATCTAAGGTAAAGAGAAACTGACCATTACAGCAAATCGTTCGAATCCAATCACAACTTTGACGCGCAAATTAGTAAATTTGACATTCATTCACTGATTAACCGGTTGAATAGCGCATTTTAATCTTTTTGACGTCCAACTTTCCAGATAAAACTACTTACCTGCTTAAATGAGAACGAATACAGCTGGATTCCGGTTCCTTCACCCGACCCTTCTCGAAGTTGTTTTACCTCTCGTACCATGATCGTAGAAGTGCGGCACTAAACCATCGTTTCGTTCCTCAACTTTCTATTTAGACGTTTGCTCCTTTCCGATAGAGTACTGTGTAGGGTCCGTTCCAGCGTATCCCGAACTTGATCACACTTGACGTCTCAGAATCTGGCATATCGTTGTTCCGTACCTTGACTTGTTCTCTACTCCTGCACTGCGTTCATTGTGAGCCTCTTACCAATTAAAGCGTGTTTGTTGCGCTTTCGTTCCACTTCCACCAGTCGCTTGCAGTCGTTCATAATGTAGTACGGATGTACCCACTTACCTGGTTTTGCTAAGCACGTGTGGAGCACAATCCGCAGTTTTCTGCCAAACTGCAATTCAAATAGAGAAACGTTGGTGATCAACGGCATGCTCGTCCGATACGCAAGCAGAACTTCAGGCAATGCTTCCTTCCATGTCATCCACGTGCAGATTATTCACGTCTTCATGGTCCGATTGAACCGTTTGTCATTTCGTTGGCTTGCAGGTGGTGAGGTGGTGTGTCTTCTCTGCATGTTTCACATGTCTAAAACCGCCTTAAACATTGTCGACTCGAAGTAATGCCTTTGAACGGTGATAACACATCGTGGTATTCCATACCTTGCTGGGGCATTTTATCTGTTTTCCGGAGACACGGTTTCACTTGGCTGATCCTTGATTGGGATAGCTTCCACCAGGTGGGTGAACTGGTCGAACGTATGTGTTTCCTGAGCGACTCACTGGCAAGAGCCCAAAGACATCCAGTCCCGAACTTTGAAGTGGCTCATTGAATTCCATCGAGCGCATCGGTGGTCTCGGTGCATCCATCCCGTGACTAATTTGGTATGTTAGACATCCCCGGATGTATACCACGAGGTTCTTCTTCATTGTGGGCCAAAACACCCAACTCCGTAGCAATGCCAATACGTATTTAAACCTCACCTGGGCGCCCTCGTGAGTTATTCGCACCACCCGCTCTCGCAGATACAGTGAAATAAAAGGTAGCTCCCTTCTGTCTGTCGCAACCACCACAATATCGAGTTCAACCCCCAGACTGTCCCAGGGCATAAGGAGTTCATCCAACTCTCCTGCTATGGTATCCGGCTTGGTGTCAGCCAGTAAGTGAGAGCACAATACCTTCACGAATTCATCCGTCATTTGATTACCCAGCAGATTCTCCTCCTCCGCAGTGACCAACGCAGCTGTGTAACATTGTCCGGCATGAGGTCGACCAACGACGCGGGTGACAGCAGGTCGTGTAATGTGGCCTGCTTTTCATCTGCGTGCTCAATGGTAAAGCTAAATGCTTGCATTCGGTATGGCTACAGAGCTAGGAGTCCCCGTGGTCCTTTCGTTGCCATCAACCATGAAAGCGGCTTGTTGTCAGTAACGACCCGGAGGTTAATTCTCCACTTATCCAAGGCTACACGATTGCCAGACATTCATCCTCTGTCGTGAAATACAGCTGCTTCGCCGCTGTCAGTGCTCTACTCGAATATTTCCCCCTG